AGGCGCGACTGCTAACACCTGACCTGCACTCAGCTGGTATTTTAACACCCACGTCCACTGTGAAGTTCTCCATACAACCATTCTCTGTGCAGTCCGTATTTGACACGCTATCCAGACTTCCCATTCAACGTAAAACCGCTGGACTGCTGAACAATCGCATCCTCCGTGAAACAGCTGAGGTCACGTCACAGTCTCTTTCCGCCCTTTTCAACCGCTGCTTGCTGTCCAGTACTCAGCCCAGGGAGTGGAAATCTGCCGTTGTTGTACCTGTGTTCAAGGGAAAAGGTAATCCTTCTCACCCAGTCAATTACCGTCCTATATCGCTGTTAAATGCAGTTGCCAAATTGTATGAGTCTATGATTAGCCGTCAGTTTTACTCGTTTGTTGAGAGCCATACAATTATCAGTTCCAGCTAGTTTGGCTTTTGTCGAAAGAGATCAACAGTTGACCAATTGGTACAGCTTACCTCAATTGTTTCGCGTGCATTTGACTCTAAGTCTTCTTGTGACCAGCTGTTTCTTGATTTTTCTAAGGCCTTTGACAGAGTTAGTCATCACTTAGTTATTCAATCTGTTTCAGGTTGGTGTTCTCTTTCTGCCTGTTCTTGGGTGAAGGACTTCATCAGTGATCGTAGTATTTGCGTTCGCATTGGCCAAACTCTTTCTGACCCTTTGCCCATCACCGCTGGCGTACCCCAAGGTTCCCATCTCGGCCCGCTTCTTTTTAACCTGTGCATCAACTCCTTTCCTGATGCCCCTGTTTCTAGTACCCTATCCCTTTTTGCTGATGACTCTAATTTAATTCTTGTTTCTCCAGCAAACACCTCACTTCCTATCCATCATGCATTGCTCCAGACTGATATTGATAAGTGTTGTCAATGGTCATCAGCTACTGCCATGACGTTTAACACCAGTAAATGCGTCCACCTACCCTTTCAAAAATATTCATTAGCCCCCGGCCCGTCATCCCCCTTGACAATGAACGGTGTGCCTATTCAGAAAGGTGATAGCCACTGTCATCTCGGCGTGACTATCACTCCTTCACTAAATTTTTCTGACCATATAAAATCTATCACCCATAAGTTTCGCAGTCGTGTTTTTCTGTTGCGCCATATGGCCCATTTCCTTTCTGCTTCAACCGTGAATTTGCTCTACAAGTGTTACGTACGACCACTGTTAGAATACGCAGTCCCTGTCTGGTCATTCGCCGTATCCCATTCAGATTCGCTTACGTTAGACCGACTGCAAGCCGTTGCTGCTCGTTCATATCTGCTTTGTAAGACCCGGCACCCTCCTGAGTGGGAAACCCCGAAGCAGATTCTTAATCGTACTTGTGACTGGTCATCCCTGAAGTGGCGTCGTCAGATTCTGTCCTTGCTGTATTTTCATCATGTCTTTTACCAGTTTCCGTCTTTGCTAATTCGTTTCAAATTCAATGTATCCCTTAGTTGTCGTCACCCGTCCTCTATAGTTTTACCTCGTTCTGGCGCCCATTTCCTTAAATCCCCTCTCGTCAGTTTATCTGTGGAATGGAACAAACTTCCAGAACACATCCGCTGCGTTCAGTCCTCTGTCAATGTTCGCATTGCTCTAAAGGCTCATTACTCACAGCATAGATATTCTCTGACTGGTATTCCGAACTTTTCCGTTTGAGAAATTTTTTTCCTTGAAATTTATCCTTGCTGGGTTCTTTTTCATCTAAATGTCCCGCTATTATCTGCAGAGGTGATTTCTTCCCTCGTCGATTTCTTTCCTGCTTTTATACCTCGATACTTAGGCACTTGTTTCCCTTCTTCCCATGCTTCATCTTCCACTCTCCTCTCCCCCATTTCCCCATTTTTCTTGCGATATTTATATGGGAGACTTCCGTGATAAGCATCCATTTGCTTTTGGAGAATCCTTTTAAATAAATACAATACAATGGCACTTTGCGGTACGGGGGTGCCGGAAGGAGTTCCCACGATGTCTCCAAAAGCCTAGAGCGGACGTCTTTGCAGCAATTCTTTTTGCCCTGCGCATTCAGTCCGCCTACGCGACAGCGTTTCCGGGGAGTTCCAGGTGCAGAAGACATTCATCGATGGCACTTTGCGGTACGGGGTACGGAAAGGGGCCTCCTCGTTCCACTTCGTCGACTTCTGCAGTTCTCCTTCCCGTCAGGGGTACCGAAAGGGGCCTCCTCGTTCGTCTTCGTCGACTTCTGCATTGCACTTTGGCACAAAGCAGACCGCTGACGGGGTCACGTGTCAAAAAAGTATCAACAACGTGTCGACTACGTGTCGACCACGTGTATAGCGGTACAATCAGCGGTAAACTAATTCTCGTGCCATTCTCGTGTCACAAAACTGGAACATCGAATACCAGTGTATCGGGGGAAGCATGCAGGGCGCGCGATAGTGCAGGTTCGAATCCGAGGTTATGTCTTAAAAAAAAATACTTTTTTTAATAATTTATAACATCCCTATGTTTTTTTGTCCAAGTCATCAAGGCAAAAGAAGCATAGCGTAGGGCCCTGAGCTTCCAAGCTCTCTCGTTAGCATTGCGAATCGGGCGATATGCACTGTCTTTGGCTTCCCACCCTCTGCCTCCAACCCATCTTAGCTAGACAGCACCTAACACCGTTAAATATTCGTTATTCTGCTAACCTCCTACATAGATGCATAAAATGTTCGTGCTAGTGTAGTATCCCCTATTTTGCCGACTTTTCCCTCCTCGTGCTGTCTCATCATCCCGCACTGCTAGAATTACTCGTTTTCAGGAATCGCTCGGCCTGGTACTGCCCCATGCCAGATTGTATTTTGGCTATCACTCTGTATCTTATCTTGGAGCTGACCGATGGAACTCCCTCCCTGCAGCGATTCGCACCATATCCCTGCCTGCTCCATTTCGCTCCGCTACCCTCACGTGGCTAGGGCACCCTGTAAGAGGACCATAGGTCTGTGGGAACTCCCCTAGTAAAATATGAATAAATAATAACAATGGAAATGGATTTGCTCCCACACTGGAGCTCGCGCTATTCCGCCGACGACTTGACACTTGACTGACTCACGACTGCCATCCAGAGAACACAAGAAATCCCTCGAACCTTCGACTCAGCAAACCTGCAAGAAAGCACCACTCTCTGCTCAGTACACAGTGTTTCGGGGAATTCACCCCTCATCAGTTGAGTTTGACCTCAGACCTCAGACATGCCCATCGCGGAAGCGATGATAGTGAACAGCTATGTTAGACATAGCAACTTGTGCTGGGATTACACCATTCAACAGCTTGCAAGGCTGATGAATTGGCCGCCACTATTTTTAGCCTGGTATCCACCACACGGCTGTTTGAAGTGACTTTTTCTGGCCAGTGAATCCCTATTTTTCATTTTTCCATTTTTTTCTACACACACACCACACCACATACTCCGGCATACACTGGCTGTTGGTAACCACCCAGGAGAATGAAAGAAAAGTCAGGAAGAGTGCGAGAAAGAGAAGAAAGACGTGTGCGACCATAATCGTCGGGAATTGAGCTTGAGTAGGCTGAGGAAGATTGTGCCTGAAGAGCACCACTTATATAGTGTTGTCCAGGCACAAACATCACCAGGGATACACATTTACAGATAAACTCCGTTTCCAGCGTGACAAACATCTCGTGAACACCAAATAGCAGCGTGAGTCAGTTATCGCTCCTGGACGGTGAGAACAGACGTAGAGGACCCTGGTCATTCACAACGCTCTCACCTCCAAACCAGCTAGTCGCACGCCCGCGCTGGGCACAACAGTATGAAATAGAGGTTGCGACTTCGGCGTTGATTTTGGTTTAGGAATGGGTTTGCTCTCACACTGTAGCTCATGCTATTCCGCCGACGACTTGACACATGACTGACTCACGACTGCCATCCAGAGTCGCAACCTCTATTTCGTAAATAATAGTAATAATGACAATTATGGTATCCGAGATCAGAGTGGTAACGCCATGAGTGCCAGCTCCAGAGTCTGACAACCGTGCCAATGCCTTCTCAAAGACAACAGCATCAAATGCTCCGGTTGAGTTTATTGGTGCCGCAGGGTATTTCCAGTCACTCTAACTGGGCACCTTGCTTGTCATGAGCAATGCTCTAACAACTGAGCTATGGGACCAGGCTGAACCTAGAAGGCCTAAAAGATAGAGAACCTAGAAAACCTAGAACCTTTGAAATTGAAGTTCTCCCAATCCTTCCAGAAAGTAATCATTTTCTTTCATTTCTTGTAGGGTCCAGAAACTGACCGTGGTTGGTCCCTGGTGGAGGGAAAAAGACCCAAGGGCCATCAGTATGTGCGGCACGAGTTGTGAGCTGGCTTTGGAGTGAAAAGGGTTTCAGCGCCTTCTAGGTTCAGCCCGGTCCCATAGCTCGGTGATTAGAGCATCACTCTTGACAAGCAACTTCCCAGGTTCGAGTCCTGGTGGGTCTAGCGATTGGTTCTCTTTTCAGGCAGTTCACTTTCCCCACTGATCCACGTTATTTTACTAGTTTTTTTGTTGGTGAGAAGACCAACTCTAGTCCAGCTCTGGACGACGAACCACCCGAACTATACAGAACAAGTCCGTTGTCGTAGATCTACGTATCTGCGCTGGCTCCGTTCATCCTGGGCTCCGTCAGTCCCAGGATGTCAAGTATGTCTTGTTCGAAATGTTTTATTATAGTAATTTTCTGTATGATGAAGAAAGGAAATGGACAAAATGTTACGAGTTATGACAAACTGTCCACCGACGTAACCAGATCTTGTACAGTCAGCGAGTGCGACAAAATGGCACAAAACTGACAAGGAGTACTGAGACATTCGGCAACCTGACATCTAACTCCAACACCTCTCCTACACTTGTCCATTTCCTTTCTCCATAATAACGATATATGCTTGGTCCTCAGTACCTTCAGTGCCAGTTTTTTTAGTTTTCATCTCTTCTCGCTCCACATAAACCGACATAACGACATGGACCCAGACAACAGCGGCAGGAGCACACAGAGTGAGGGTAGTAGGCCGTAGCCAGATGTGAACCGGAATGCAGAAGAAAACTAGGAGCAGCAACAGGTGGAGAGCCCTCAGGAGGAAAGAATGAGTACATTCTACTAACATAAATAAGCCAGGACAAGCACCACTTGGGACCGTCAGATTAATTTCTCTGGACCGAGCCAGCCGGGAAAAAACCCTCGCGCCGACGGACGTACGAATGAGGGAAAAAACCGGGTGCATAACCCCAAGTGGCAACATGGCAGCATAAAATTAGGCACAACATATCTACAGCCGATAAAGAAATGGAAGAAGATGGGCAGACATGAAGGGTGGAGGGTGGAGACACTGGTGAGACACAAAACACTGACTGAAGGAGTCAGGCAAAAAGAACAGCAACAAAAAGAGAAAACATCAGATTCCATATTCGCAAGAAAACGAATTTTGCTGCGCGAGAAATCATTTCTAGCCTCACTCGCTCCGCTCGGCCAGCGAGAAATTATAACATCACTGCTTAGCGTATCATACTGATTCAGGCTGGCCGGACACATCTGTACTTCACCTTTGATTTGGCCCCGGATGTTCGTTGGGAGTCTTGTTCGGCGTACTCACCACTTGCACATGTCCAGAAAACAGTGTGGACTGATCCATTTTCAAGGTTTCGTTCTTCGCGTGTACCTCAGTTACAAGGCCGAGTAGCGCACCCTGAAGCCCTGCAAAGCGTTTGGATTCAGGCTTCTTTCGTGCATGGAGGGACGGTGACTTACTCGATGGAAACGACGCAGTCAGCAACGAATCACTATCACTATCCCTCATCTTCTTCTTGGATTCAGGTTGTTCGGTGGGAGTCAACGTCATTCGTCCATATGTCGTAGTATGCGGCCCTGTTGATGCTCCAACTTTTCCAACACCAGCCATGTTTGGAGGCTGTGCTCGGCCTCTTCCGCGTCCTTTTGGCGGGAGACGACAACGAGCATTCCCCGCAGACTGGAGTTGTCTCGAGGATATGGTAGAGGTTAGACTTGGTGGCTGTGACCCAGTTGATGCTCCAACATTACCATCTGACGCTTGTTTCTACGACATTCAAGAGAAAACAAAGGGCAAAGACAGGCAATTCAGTGAACCAGTTCAACATTCATTGCATCACTTTACTACATTGGTTGCGATGACGTCATAGTGACAGTGATTCTCTTACCCTCATGATATCAGTCAAAACTGTGCAGAACTATGCAGAAGTACTCATAGATTATAATTTATACAGTCATGTACATATTCTGCCTGTTTGCATGTGTATTGTTGCGAAAGTACATTCTACAAGACCTTTAAAAGTGTACGTTGTACTGTTAAGACAGCGAAATGAAACCATGAAAACCAAAGCAAAGAAGAGTGTGTGTCTGTGTAGGTTTGAGTGTGTGTGGGCGTGCGTGTGTGTGTGTGTGTGTGTGTGTGTGTGTGTGTGTGTATGTGTATGTGTGTCTGTATGTGTGTGTGTTTGTGTGTGTCTATGGTCTATTAGTGTTATACATACTAGTACTGCATACGCATAATTGTAGATAGGCCATCATTGACATTGGTCACATAACCAAACCAAATTTCGGCGTAGTGAGTGGAATACGTGCTGGCAACTACGCTATAGTCATTTCTAGACTTGGACCTGCACACAAGTTGAGCAGGTGCTTATAATTATGGTAACTAGTGGGTGTAGGGTGTAGCACATCAGTGTTGAATTATCCAAGGACAATAAGTCTACAGTCGCTGCGGGTTACGGCGTCAAGATGCTGGCAGTACAATTGCCAAAAATTAACAGCAGTACTGGGTGAATGGTACACACTGCATACAACCAATTCTGTTGCCTTTGGTGAAGCGCTAATACGTACACGGACAAACAGGCACTCCACTTCTGAGTCAGCCACTGGTACTCTCACTGAGTGAATGTCAGAATGGACGTAGAGGGAAACTCCACCAGGATGTAAATCTCGGTCCCCGCCGTACAGATTTTAGCCTGGAATATGCACGCTGAGGTCGGGTATACTGCTATCAAGATGAGTTTCGTTAATAGATGAGATATGAATTTTATGAGCATACAAGAGGCGATGGATGTGGTGTACTTTATGGCGAAGATACAGACTTGAGTAATAATTATATTGATTGATTGATTGATTGATTTTTATTTCACGGATCCTCCAGAGGCAAATAGATGCCTATCGAAGGGAGTGTCCTAAGTAAGTATGAAAAATGAGAAAGTATGTTCGTAAGGGAGAAGAGGTAGAAGATACATTAGAATATAGAGTACAGAAGAAGTAAATTCAATACTTCGGGTAGTGCATTGCATGCTAATCATAATGAGAATTAGAAAACCAGCATTGCGGACTACAAAACTGACATATACACAAACTATTGAAACTATCTTTACTTATAAAGAAGAGGCACCTGTGACGTGTGTCTGTGTGTGTGTGTCACGCTCCTTATAAAGAAGAGGCACCTCTGACGTGGGGGTGTATATCACGCTGAAGCGCTGCCCTGAGCACGCGAAGCGTGCGAACAGTGTAGCACATTGTAGCTAGTGGCCGCAGAAGCACTGAGCACGCGAAGCGTGCGAATCGTGTAGCTAGCGGAGGCAGCCACAGAAGCACTGAGCACGCGAAGCGTTCGAATCGTGTAGCCACCACCACGTGCTGAGCACGCGACGCGTGCGAACAGTGTAGGTGGTAGCGCTTAAGTTAAAGCAGACACGATCAGTACGAGTAGCAGTAGCAGCCGCGCGCAGAAGCACTGAGCACGCGAAGCGTGCGAATCATGTAGCCACCTAGCCTAGGCCATAGGTAGCACTAGCAGCCGGACCACGTGAACCGTTCTCTGCAAATAGAAACATCTGCAACAAAAGGATACAAAAGATCTGCACTGACTGCACTCTGCATCTGATCTGCAGTGAAGAGCGCATCGCACTTTTGTTCGTAAGTTTATGAATTTTTTGAGCCGCTTCATCCGCCACCAGATGATGGACAACCCTGACCAGCCTCCCGAAGGCGTAACAGACGTCCCTCCTTCTCCTTCCAACCATGAAGAACCTTCCTCGCCAGGACTTCAGCGGTCTGGCCACCACCACGTGCTGAGCAAGTGTGCTGTTCATGTACTTGCTTCACCCGCATGCCACATTCGGCCAGGCAACGCTGGCCTGGGGTGCTGCTAGTCATAGATATGGTATTGATATGAGTAATTGTGTGGTAGCTTACCGTAGGTGGGTCTGGTGCTCTCAGTACGCGAGGAACAAATGACGCTGCATTTGGATTCAGCGGTACGTGTGACTTGGCTGACGCGCTCTTCGACAACAAATCTCTCACACCCGAAACGCCACGCTCCTTAGATTGGATCATAAAAAGAAACAAACGCAAAGAGATCATCAAAATCAACTACAGGCGCTTGTGTATGCTCACCCTCACCTGCTATTATACCAGTTGCTAGCGTCGGAGATACGGATCTACAGTTGCAATTCGCCTATTTCGCTGTTCAGTCACCCGGACCGTTGGTTCAAGGCCGAGTAGCGCACCCTGAAACCTTGCAAAACGATTGGATACCGGCTTCTTTCTGGCCTGGAGGGACGGCGACTCACTCGATGGGCACGACGCACTCTGCAATGAGTCACTATCACTATCCCTCATCTCCTGCTTGGATCCAGGTTGTTCGGTGGGAGTCTTGTTTGGCTTAGTCACCACTTGGATCTGACCAGAAAAAAGTGTGGATTTATCCTTTTGCAACGTTTCGTTCGTTTCATTGGATACAGGCATCTTGCTGGCCTGTAGAGACGGCGACTCACTCTATGGAAACGAAGCAGTCTGCAAAGAATCACTATCACTATCCCTCACCTTCTGCTTGGATTCAGGTTGTTCGGTGGGAGTCAACGTCATTCGTCCATATCCGGTTGTATGCGGCCCTGTTGAGGCTCCAACATTTCCAGCACCAGCCATGTTTGGAGACTGTGCTCGGACTCTTCCGCGCCCTTTCGGCTGGAGACGACAAACAGCATTCCCCGCAGACTGGAGTTGTCTCGAGGATATGGTAGAAGTTTGACTTGATGCCTGTGACCCAGTTGATGCTCCGACATTACCAACGACAGCCATGTGGGAAGACAGTGGTCGTATCCTGGCTCGTCCGTTTGGTGAAAGAGGACCACAAGCGCTCCCGGCAGACTGGATTTGTCCACAGGACATACCAAACGTTTGAATGGATGGCGGGGACATTATTCCGGGCTTGCTTTGACTTTGAGCACACCCAGCGCCGTAAGAAACGTTGGGTCTGGAGGTCTGCGTGCTACGTGGGGAAGAACTGAATGAGGCACCCACGGCAGCAGCAGCGGCACGATCTCGTTGAGCGATATCGAATTTCCGTTGAATCTCTTCGTTCTTCTTTGCCATTTTCTGGAGGATATCATCTGTTTCATAATCATCTGACGCTTGTTTCTACAAAATTCAAGAGAAAACAAAGGGCACAGACAGGCAATTCAGTGATCCAGTTCAAAATTCATTGCATCACTTTACTACATTGGTTGCGATGACGTCATCTTGAGAGTGATTCTGTAGCCCTCATGTCATGATATCAGTGAAAACTATGCAGAACTGTGCAGAAGTAATCATGGATCTATTAAGTATTATACAGTCATGCACATGTATTTGCATATAACGCATGTTTGCATTATGTATTGATGCGAAAGTACACTGTACAAGACTTGAGTGTACATTGTACTGCTGAGGCAGCGAAATGGAATAATAAAAACCAAAGCAAACAAGAGTGTGTGTGTGTGTATGTGTGTGTGTGTCTGTGTGTGTGTGTGTGCGTGTGTGTGTGGTGTGTGTGTGTGTGTCAGCCTTGCAAGCTGTTGAATGGTGTAATCCCAGCACAAGGTGCTATGTCTGTCATAGCTGTTCACTATCATCGCTTCCGCGATGGGCATGTCTGGGGTCTGAGGTGTGTGTGTGTGTCTATACAGTCATACTAGTACTGCATACGTATAATTATTGTAGACAGGGCATCATTGGTTACATAACCAAACCAAATTTTGACGTAGCGTGTGGAATACGTGCTGGCAACTACGCTATAGTCATTTCTAGACTTGGACTTCTTTTCAGCAAGGTTATAAAACTCCCCCAGTCATTCTTTGAAAAGGAAATACATAATTGAGGGTTAGAAAACGTGTTTTTTCGAGGATGCTTAGTCAGAACGGGCCGCTTACCTTGGGGTACTTAGCGTTCTTCGACAATATATTCCTCAGACTTGCAACGCTGCGTTCCTATGATTGGACCATGAAAACAAACAAAACGCAAAGACATCATCAGAATCAACTACATGCGCTTATGTATGCTCATTCTGAATGCCGTTATACCAGTTGCTAGAGGTTGATATACGGATCTACAGTTGCAAGTCGCCTGTGTCGCTGTTCAGTCATCCGGCCAGTTGGTTCCCCAACAGTACACTGATAGTTCATTTACACTGTAAAATTTGCAGGCCTACTTCCAGTGTAAATGTGGAAAGGGGGCATTGTGAACGTTGCTGTTATGCAGCATTACGACTCGCTCTTACAAGTCAGTCTTTATACAAAGTCTGGCCTTGGAAAATTTATAATTTCATTGCTATCACGTTCGGTCTCATTTTCTCTGTGCTGCTCTGATGAGCCCACAAATTGCGCAACAGTTCTGTACGCAGATTCCGTACAATGTTATGTACATTTAGATGAGCACATTGACCATCTAACTCTAAAACTAGCAAATTAGTAATACTGCAACATACTCAGATACGTATGGTGCACACTTCTTTTCAACTGTAAGCACAAGATGGTCACTGGCTACATAGTGTCAGTAACCAAGATTATTCATTTATTCAAAAGCATTCGATCTCGAGGGCACCAGATAACTGACACGCATCTGCTAAATATCTTATTGGTGACAACATCTTCCCATGGGCCATTTTGGAACATAAAAATACACGGCAGCAGAGTGCAAGATATGAACACGAAAAAAAGCTGAGCCTCAAACTCATGAGAGTCAGATGACGTTTGAATACTCAATAAAAGCAGTCGCTGAGAAACTTGTTTGAAGGAATGAAAATGTACTCACCTGAAGGCGGGGACGGTCAATGTCACTATTCCGCGGTGTTCTCTCCCATACGTCCATTTCGAAATACCTGCTGCTGCCGAAGGGTCTGTTTAAACACTTCTTCGAGGTGGTCACACACACGGAGTAAGTTGTAGCTTAGAAAACCGTGATTTCCAGGAGTAAAGCAGCAGTGAACAAGGACTCTTTCAAATAGCAAAGTGCACGTAGATCAGCTCTATACACGCTGTAGATCTACAACAAAACTTGTCTCATGAAACTACAGGTCAGAACTGTAAAGAGCTAATATCGTACCGACACCAAACGGAACCGATTTCTTCTTCACTACTGACTTGTGTAACGTAACTGCGAGAATGCTAGTTCCCGCGCTCACCTTTATACCAGGTTTTAGGTGTGGGTGAAGCACGTGAAATGGCTTCACGATCCGTGACGCTTAGAATCTGAGCGTACATGTACGTGCAAGCCATAGAGAGGATCAAGATTACCGTATCCAGCTGGGTCTCGCCACCATTGTTTTTCCACTGTGCTCTGCTTGTCCACGCGTAGCCAAGGGCCCATTGACGTCACACTATTAACTTAACAGCCCCATTTTAATAGTTATAAAACTAATTATTATTATTACACTAGCAGCACCCCAGGCCAGCGTTGCCTGGCCGAATGTGGCATGCGGGTGAAGCAAGTACATAAACAGCACACGTGCTCAGCACGTGGTGGTGGCCAGACCGCTGAAGTCCTGGTGAGGGAGGTTCTTCATGGTTGGAAGGAGAAGGAGGGACGTCTGTACTGTTACGCCTTCGGGAGGCTGGTCAGGGTTGTCCATCACCTAGTGGTGGCGGATGAAGCGGCTCAAAAAATTCGTAAACTTACGAACAAAAGTGCGAAGCGCTCTTCACTGCAGATCAGATGCAGAGTGCAGTCAGTGCAGATCTTTTGTATCCTTTTGTTGCAGATGTTTCTATTTGCAGAGAAAGGTTCACGTGGTCCGCAGCGCTTGTGCGGCTGCTAGTGCTACCTACCTAGGGCCTAGGCTAGGTCACTAGGTGGCTACATGATTCGCACGCTTCGCGTGCTCAGTGCTTCTGCGCGCGGCTTCTACCGCTACTCGTGTATACTGATCGTGTCTGCTATAAGTAGGGACTTCAGACCATTTTTTCAAATCGGTTTTCTGTGGCTTATGTTTTGCTTTTTGGATAGGTTAGAGCCTCCTGAGAGAAAGGTTCACGTGGTCCGCAGCGCTTGTGCGGCTGCTAGTGCTACCTACCTATGGCCTAGGCTAGGTCACTAGGTGGCTACATGATTCGCACGCTTCGCGTGCTCAGTGCTTCTGCGCGCGGCTTCTACCGCTACTCGTGTATACTGATCGTGTCTGCTATAAGTATTGACTTCAGACCATTTTTTCAAATCGGTTTTCTGTGGCTTATGTTTTGCTTTTTGGATAGGTTAGAGCCTCCTGAGGAGTTTGGTCTTTAGTTTTTCTAAATCGGACAGAGGAAACTAAAGTTACAAGCAAAATAGTCATCGCCTATCACCGGATTTGTCCGACAAACGTCCCACACATTTGAGATCAGAGAGATAATGTCAAACTGAGAGAACCCACTTTCCTTCGCAACGCATAGCAACCGCACACCAGATCCAAAAACAATCTTGATTCTCCGCATGAAATAGCTCAATACTAGGTATGGTTTACAATTTAGTGGTTAGTAACAGGAGACATTGATAATACAGTCCTGAGATAGCTTCGGACTGTTGGTGTCAAGAAAAAGAATGATCACGGAAGAGGCACTGACTAAGCTCAACATGTACATGTACATGACATTGGCTGGGGTACTCGTAGCACGCACATCATCATCAGCAGAGATACAGCAAATAGCAACAAGAGTATACAGCACATCTCCCAGTTCGGCACTCTTTCAGCTATTCTTGCGGAGCTCAACCAGATCGAAACAGCATTGGAGACAAGAATCGAGGCATGGACCGAAACAGCCAAGAGCAATTCAATTTGTACATCAGCATCATTTAGCGCAGGATACTTCTCGCTGCTTTCCATACTGTGACTATGGCGGCGCTGCACGGCAAAGTACAAAGAGGAATAATGCAAGAAATAGGTCTTCTGGAAAGTGAAAACAATAAAGATTACCTTCTATCTAGACTAATTCGAGGTCGTAGAATACGAATATCACATTTTCAAGAAGGGGACCCGGACGGATCATATGGTTTCTCACCTTTCCCTTCCATCCGCATACGTATCTCCGTCAAAAATGAACGTAACAGCTCCATTCTTGCTGGTCCCAAACGAAGGCAAGCTCCAACAAGACGAACCGAAACTTTCTTCAACTGTACAAGACTTCCTTCATTTCGAAAAACGGTTCCACATTTCTTTACACGACTTGATGACATATGCCCATCACACGATTTGTGCAGGCGTCGATTTGCACGCTTTTGGGCCATAAAGTCACGTGGTCTGAAGTCCCTACTATAAGCGCTACCGGTACCACCTACACTGTTCACACGCTGTTCGCACGCTTCGCGTGCTCAGCACGTGGTGGTGGCTACACGATTCGCACGCTTCGCGTGCTCAGTGCTTCTGTGGCTGCTTCCGCTAGCTACTCGATTCGCACCCTTCGCGTGCTCAGTGCTTCTGCGGCCGCTAGCTACACTGTGCTACACTGTTCGCACGCTTCGCGTGCTCAGGGCAGCGCTGCTCCGCAGCGCTTCAGCGTGACACAAAAACACACGTCACAGGTGCCTCTTCTCTATAAGGAGCGTGACACACAGACACACGTCACAGGTGCCTCTTCTCTATATAACTAGTATAGGAGCGTGACACACAGACACACGTCACAGGTGCCTCTTCTTTATAAGTAAAGATGACATGTACATGTGCTGACGGCTGACCTCCCACGTGTACGTGCGCGGTACGGTCACTCATGTGTAGTGGCTGAGTCACGTAAAGCTATTGTAGATGTACGTGAGTTTGACTTTGACTCGTTTGAGCGCGTTATGCAGTCTATGTCAGCTCGCGCTGCACTTCACCCTCTCAGAAAACAGATCCATCATGACTGCATCATGCATGTAATGCGAAATGTTTGTGGTGATGGGGATGCTTATGCGTAGGGGGATGTGCTGATCTAGACTTTTGCTATACCGGTAATCGCTTCAATGCACGTGCAGATTCTAAGCGTCACTGTATTGTACGTGGCTTGCACGACCTCGGGGTCCACAAGTCAAACGTGGCAAAAAAAGTCGATTGTAGAAATTAGGCTTCTGGCAGATCATTTTCACAAACGAAGGACTCAAGGAGTCAAGAAGAAGACAGTCTTGTTTCGTGTTGAGTTATTCCAGTACTACTTCTGTACTATCCGTGCGTGTACTTGTGTACGAGACTAGTTTTCCTGTACATCTACAGCGTGTGTAGAGTAGATCTACGGCCCGTGCATACATCGACAGTACAGACACTCTTCACCAGCCACGC